CTTCGAAGGCTGGTGCCACAGACAGCCCCAGCCGAGCAGTGCTCCCCGTGTGCAGCCTGGGGCGGCAGAGCTGCTTTCCCAGGGGTGCCTGGGCAGGTCTGTGGGGAAGGTTCGGGTGCCCGCGGGTCAGTCAAGAGCTGCGTGCTGTTCTTCTCAGTTGTTTTTGCATGTTGCTGTGCTCTCACGCCTTTCCTCCCACAGCTGAGGGCACAGAGCAACCTGTGGATGTTACTGGTGGTGTTAGGGTGAGCAGGTCATTGTCAGCTCCTCGGCTTCCAGCACTGAGGGATGGGTGACCTGTTGGTGGTGTGGGTTTAACAGCCCTTGATGTGGCTTCCTGCCCTATGCCGAACCAGGCTGCTTGGCATCCATGCTGCCCTGCAGCTGTGCGCTGCGGGTAGTCCTGAGGGGCGGACAGTGTCGCTGCTAATGCTGGCACATGCCGATTGCTTCACTCACCCTTTGCTCTTGTCCTGTGAATAAAGCGCTCTCCCCTGCCACTGGGGAGGGCAGTGGGCTCTACCCTCCTGCCTGGGTAGCTGTCACATCTCCAGGCAGAAGTGCTCCAAGCAGTTTGACAGCCTCTCTCCCTGGGACTCAGGGTTGCTGTATAGCTCTTTGCTGACTATGCGAAACATGCAGCCCTGTATGGCTTCTTGCAGGGCTTCGTGGCTGCCAGTTCTGCCGTTAGTCCTGGCTTCAAGCAGCTGTTGCTGCAGTGAGCAAACTGCTTCCCATCTCGACCTTGTGTGTGCGAGAGCCCTGGCCACGTCTGTTCTGTCTAGTGATGTACAAGCTAGCAATCACCCATACATGTGCCAACACTGGTCAACAGCTCTCAAACTGGCATGCCAGAATTGCTCTGCATGAGCCACGCAGACCTTTCCTGTTGCCACTGCGGTGCTGGTGCTGCCGGGTGGGTGTGGGTGTGTGTCCTGCTCTGCCCTGGCACCATGACAGGCATTTGCACCGTCCCATGCTGGTGCTGCCAGACTCGTGTGCAGGGTGCATGCTTGCACGTGCATCAGAAAACACCTTGGTCCAACACTGCTGTTGGCTTTCCTGTGCAGCACGCATCTCTGCAGTTCCCTGCCTTCCTGCGCTGCTGCCATGGGCTGAGAAAGGAAGGTGGCTTGGCATTTGGGGTTTGGTTTGTTTCATGTTGTTGTTGTGTTTTTTTTGTTTTTCTTGGGAGGGTGTGGGGTGTTTGTTTGTTTGGGTTTTTTTTGCCTCAATACCACACCCTGATTTTTCATTTAATGTGACAGGCTTTTTTGCTCCTTTTTTTTTTTTTTTTCTTATTTGACCACAACCATTGCATTTTGACTTACATTTTTTCAGTGCCTTCCCCAGTTCTCAACTCTGCTGCACAGTCAGGCTCCTTTGTTTCTTTGTGTGCACCTCTGGTCTGGTTAAAGAACTCATGATAGTAGCACATGTCTGCTCTGACCCTCCAGGACAGCCCCTCTAAATGTTTTTCCAGGGCACCAGAGCATTTCCAAACACATGTATTTCTGATAGTTCTAATTTTTTTAATGCATGTCCCTAAAAAGCAAAAGTTAGCTGGCAAAACAAGGTCGTTTGTCTCTCTGGTGCTATGGGCATGCTCCCTGCAGCCCAAGTTACGGCACAGCAGCACTTGCACCCCCACCACCATGGTGCTCTGGCTCCTCAGGTAGCCCTCACCTCACCTGCCCAGGGAACAGCACAGTCCCCAGCAGCCTGCTGGGATCTGGCCTCATCCTTCCTGGCCCTGCTGCCAGGGTGTCTCTGCTCTCTGCAGCCCACTTTGTTTGTGCAGAGAACGCAGCTGTGATGCCATCCTCAGTGGGACAGTCTGTAACTGCAACTTGTTCAGCATGCAGCACTGTCACTCCCTCGAGGGCCAGAGAGGTGTGCAAGACAGCCTTAGAGCTCCTGCAGCTCTTGCACAGCATGCAAGAATAGGTCTCCTTGTAAGGGCCGTACACACTTGTTCAAAAAGTGCTGGTACACATAG